ACAACATATATCAGATGTCGTGAAAGCATGTGAATTATTAGGTTCAACACGTGAATAGATGCGAGCGTTCATTCTCTACAATTATTGGTTGTTTTAGTTAGAAATCATTTTTCATTTGTGAGTTAGGTTAATGATACTTGGATAAAAACAAATCACTAAACGTGATGGATAATTGGATAACAACTTACAATAAAAATATATATATCTTCTTTGGATTGAAGTAGGTGTCACAAAGAAATACTTTCAGTAGACCTAACTAGAAGCTAAAAGCAATAGTGACGTAGGCAAGTAGGTAGGTCCACCGTATCCATGTGATGTGTACGCAGCTGTACGACAGATGCACGGCGTAATACGAGGACCGTAGAATGCGGAAATGATTGGGCCCCGTTGAAGGAAAAAGCCCAATACACACTCTTTGAAAATTGAAAAAAATGGACAATTTGTAGATAAAATTGTAGCTGCGTCAAAAGGCTGTGCCGATGTAATTGGAATCTCATTTCTTCTTTGTCGGTAATATTCTTTATTGACTAAAAATTGCTTAGGTTTAGTGCTAATTTTTTTTTATTTGATAAAAAAAAAAGTTGAGATTCTACCGTAAAATTAATTGGTAGTCTGAAAAGTAGTTCAATTACTTATACACACATGCAAGGTCTCTCTTCTTCCCGTTGTGAGATTCATATTCTCAACACTAAACAAATTCAATGTGAGATTATCAATGTAGATTACGTATAACCAAACGAGTTTAATTTTCAAATCCGTAATTGGTTTCATCCAATATCTCATAATGTGACGATGATACTAACTACTGGTTAGTAGTGCCAAGGAAATTGCATTTCATATTCATAAAGTGGAACATTAGATCATAACCGTTGTATGCGAGGTTCAGGTTACTGATAGCGATATGTTATTCTTTATTTTATAAACATTATATGATATGAATTTTAAAAGAATTACAATGCTCAAGCAATACAATATGTGCAGTAAACAAAATCTTCTCCAATAACAAATCTCAACCCCACCTCTATAACGAATTAGAATGCAAAGTTGAATGATTTGCAAAATCGTTCACAAATCAGTACATAAAGAAACTCTTGATTCAACCACTACAAGCGCAGAGACTCAAGCCCTTATTGATAACACTATGTTGTTCAATACCTTGTCTTATAATAATACATATAACTAACCGGATCTACAATCAATCAAACACTACAACGTCATTTTTTTAAATAAAATTTTCAAGCAAAAACCTTGTGTCCGTACCATTGAGTACGCCAAGCAAGTCTTCCCTCCTATTCACCAGACAGTCCACAATGCACATGCACCCACTATCTAGAAAGTCAAGAGATAAAAATGAAGGAACAAAAAAGAAAGAAAATCCCTAATTTGGCAGCCAAAAAGACAAAGAGTGCGCAGTGGCACAAATTGCAAACGAAGCAAACTGGTTTCATGATTCTTCCAATATGATCACAACTCCCTCGAGCCCCGACATTGTTGACCCTACATTCACTACCCTCACCGTTTCCACAAAAACCCCGCATCTTTCTTTGAATAGAGAGACGAATGTAATTTGATTGATTGAATAGGACAATCCGATGATAAATTCAGGTCCGATTCTGAGAATTTGATGACTCTAGACGAGGCTTCGAAGTGGGACCTTAGAATGAACAATGATGCTTAGGATTTTGTGTGTTGTTTGGGGAATGCAACAAAAACCAAAGGGTTTATCTGTTTAGAGTTCAGTGTCTAGCGGTTTGGGAAGTGAGATAAAAGAAGTAAATAGACTTGTTTCCAAGTCAATAAGAACATGTTTGAGTCGCTTAAAATGACGGGCTCACCTGCTCAGCCCAATGTGCTTTTGTATTTAGATAAAATCTCAAAATCCATAAACTTCTTATTTAAACAATTAAAAAGTTTGTAATATAGTGTGTGTGTATCAAATACAAAATTGAGGGCCTCTCTAGGGTAGGGACCCTAGACGGTCCGTCTATTTTAGCTATCTTCAAGGCCGGCCTCGAGAGTATTAAATAATTAAACGAGCAAATTAATAAATCGAGGTTCAATCGTGGGCTACTATTCTTTCAAGCATCCTACTCTTTTTCGTTCAATTCAAGAGAACCAAACCCCTATTCTCCTCAATGCACCAAGATCATAATTTTAGACGTACAATCCTCACCCTAAAACTTGTTAAAGGGAATTAACCAAAAGGGCATTTCCGTCAATTGAGAATAAAAAAAGAGTTGAACGGAATTACCGCCAAAAAAAAACCTTCAACTACTCGTGGGAGACCAAAGCCGCATTAATCAAGGTGATGATTTTGTCACCTTTTGACAATGTTTCTCTGCAACTTTGTTCATAAATAGCACTCCACCCCTCTGCTTTCTCCTCACACCCAAACCCTCCAACTCAAAAGCCCCATCTCTCTCTCTCTCTCTCTCTCTCTAGAAAGCAATGGCCGCCATGGCTCCTCTGCTCTGCATTGCTTCTCTCATGGCACTGGCCAGTACCATTGTAGTCGAGGCCAGAATTCCTGGTGTTTACACTGGCGGAGCGTGGCAGGATGCTCATGCCACCTTCTATGGCGGCAGTGATGCCTCTGGAACTATGGGTAAGCTCAAGATATTTCACCCCCCTGAATTTTTTAAGCATAATATAACATAAAGTCCATTTCTTTTGGATTTAGACCCTCTAATTTCAAAACCCCACATCAAAATTTCCCAAAATCTCTCAAAATATTACAACAAAAACTAAAAGTTCATGCCTTTTGATTGTCTCTGTGTATATACAGGAGGGGCCTGTGGCTACGGAAATCTGTATAGCCAGGGCTACGGAGTGAACACGGCGGCGCTGAGCACGGCACTCTTCAACAACGGTTTGAGTTGTGGAGCTTGCTTCGAACTCAAGTGCGCAAATCAGCCTCAGTGGTGCAAATCTGGCAGTCCCTCCATTTTTGTCACGGCCACAAACTTTTGCCCTCCAAACTTCGCCCAGCCCAGCGACGATGGCGGCTGGTGCAACCCTCCTCGCACCCACTTCGATCTCGCCATGCCCATGTTCCTCAAGATCGCCGAGTACCGCGCCGGCATTGTCCCTGTTTCTTACCGCCGGTGAGCACAGCACTCTCTCTTTCTTTTTCTCTGTTTTCGTTTTATTATTTTGGTCGTTTGTAAATGCCAAATGACTAAAATGCCCTTTTTGTGGTATAGGGTGCCATGCCGGAAGCAAGGTGGAATCAGGTTCACAATCAACGGCCACAAGTACTTCAACTTGGTTCTGATCCACAACGTCGCGGGCGCAGGGGACATAGTGAAGGTGTACGTTAAAGGGACGAACACTCCGTGGATGAGCCTGAGCCGCAACTGGGGTCAGAACTGGCAGTCAAACGCCATCCTGGTTGGACAGTCACTCTCCTTCAGGGTGACAGCCAGTGACCGCCGCACCTCCACTTCCTGGAACATCGTCCCTTCCAACTGGCAGTTCGGCCAAACTTTCACCGGCAAGAACTTCAGGGTCTAATTCTTCAATTTTCCCGCTTTTTAATATATCATTTTACTTTCTTTTTCCTTTTAATTTTTGGGTTTGGTAAAAGAGAGAAGAGCAAGAAAGTAAAAGTAATGTTTGATGGTGGGGTTAAAGTTAAAGTTAAAGTTAAAAGTTAAAGTTTTTTTTTAACTGCTGGGTGGAGGAGTGAAAAAAGCTCCAAGCCTCAAAAGTGTTGTTGTAGGCAGCTGAGGTGGCTGGTAGTGTAGCCCGCAGCTTTGGTTATCTGATCCTGAGTATATTTATAATTATATACTTTAATTTTAGTATTTTTTCTGTTTCTTGCTTATGGGGATGGTTTGCAACTTTGCATTTGGGGTGTGATTTTACCGGCAATCAAGGACCTTTGAAGGGATGTCTGCCACCAGCAGCCGAATGAGAAATTAAACAATGACGTTGAAAGTTTAGGTCGGACATCCTGATCACACGTGTTTTATTCGATCATCTAATAAAGAGTTATTGCACCGTCACTTACCCTTCATAAGATTTATGTTGACAAACGACACAAATGTGTTGATACAATACTAATACTGATGGCTTGTAATTGAAGTATAGTTATTAAGTATATACGACATGGCAATACTCGATAATGTGTTCTTATGCTTATGATGGTCGGATATGCTACGTGGTCTAGTAACCTATGTCACGTTTTCTCTCCTAAGTCATGTTTTTATCTCCTTCACATACGACCAAACTAAAATTGTGACCATGTCTTCTACATTGGATTCTTTGCTTCTACATTGGATTCTTTGTTGTTCGTGTAATGTATAATTCATAGAACTTGGTTAAGACTTTCGAATTGGTTTCATTACAACTTTCTCAAGTTTAGGAGAGCAACTTAGATGGATCGATCAGTGTAACAGTTTTAAGTCCTCAAATCCTCCACAATACATTTTTAGGTAATCGAATCCTCAGGGTTTAGGGTTTATGGTCTTTTACTCATCGTGCTCAACCAGTCCAGGTTCCAATCCAAAACTCAAAAATCAACCAACCATGAAACATCGTATACAATCCTTAATTAAATGATTATAATTTCAATTTTCAATTAAAAAAATAGAAAAAAACAAATCAACTAAAAAATAAAGTTTTTGGGATAAATTGATTGGAAAATAAGAAAATGTGAGATGGAGATTAGTAGAAAAACGGGACAGAGAGAACCCGCCATCTGTGGATACCATCACTACGGTTGTCTGGCCGCCGTCCGACTCCCACCGAAACGGTGCGAATCGGACCTTCACTGTAAGCACCATTGGTCTCCGCGAGAAAGCAAATCAAAATCGCTTCCTCTCATAAACCCAACAAGTGCCATATATTCCCCAAAACCCTAAAATCACACACACAAAAAACCCTAAAATAAAAAACTGAATCGCAAAAAAATAAAAAAATAAACCCTAAAAATCAGAAATTGAAAAGAAAGAAAGGTGGGCTCATATCAAGTGTATAGAATTGGACGGCCTGTCATTGCGGGTCGGACCCAATTAGGGCGAAAGAATCAGTGGAACGCAAAGATACGAGCAGAGACGCCAAAGGCCTACGATTCGGGTGAAAAGCGGCGGCGATCTTTCTGCTTCTCTTTGCGCTCCTTGATACTTTAGTCCTAATTGGGGTTTCCGCTCAAGCCTCTCTCTTTCTAATCACAGCCCTAATTTTTAATTTTTACAGAAGATGTAGGCGATGGAGATCTCTGAGGATCTGAGAAGACAGAGCACGAATATATAGCCCTAGGGTTCCATAGAAACAGCAGATATTAAGATTGGATACCAGAAACGGCGTCGTTCTGGGTCGTGAAATGTGCCGCCCTCCAGAAATCACGCGGTTCCTTGTATTTATTTAGGCTCAACGGACGGGCTGAGATCCTCTCCGGATCCTTTAATCCTGGCCTTTCACTGTCAATCTTGCGTCCACGAATTAATGCACTTTTTTTCAAATTTCACCTGTTTGCACGACTTCGTTTGCAGCACTCTCTCCGTTCACTTTGACGGAATTATTATTATTTTCCTTTTATTTTTGGGTAAATTACATAGTAGCCTCTCAGGTTTGAGTTCTATTTGCAATCTTATACAACATCTTTAAAACATTTCACTTTCATACCTCAAGTACTATTTTATTTTAATTTCATACAACCGTTACATTTTCTATCCATGGATCTGTTAAATGCTGACGTGGCTGCCACATATATGTTATGTGGCTACCAAAGGTCTGTCACGTGGCAAATAAAATAAATTTTTAATTTTTTTTTAAAAAACCCGAAATTGGAAGGAAAAAAAAAGGACCGAACCCCTACAACTCAGAAGAAGAAGGATGAAGAAGAAGAAGAGAAGAAGAAGAGAAGAAGAAAGAGGAGGAGGAAGAAGAAGAAGAAGAAGGAAAAAAAAAAGAAAGGGATCGAACCCAGAAGAAGAAGGAGGAAGAAGAAGAAGAGAAGAAGAAAGAGGAGGAGGAGGAAGAAGAAAAAAAAAGAAAAAAAGAAAGGGACCGAACCCAGAAGAAGAAGGAGGAAGAAGAAGAGAAGAAGAAATAGGAGGAGGCGGAAGAAGAAGAAGAAAAAAAAAAGAAAAAAAAAGAAAGGGACCGAACCCAGAAGAGAAGAAGAATGAGGAGGAAGAGAAGAAGAAAGAGGAGGAGGAGGAAGAAGAAGAAGAAGAAGAAAAAAAAAAAAAAGGGACCGAACCCAGAAGAGAAGAAGAAAAAGGAGGAAGAAAAGAAGAAAGAGGAGGAGGAGGAGGAAGAAGAAGATAAAAAAAAAAAAATGATCGAACCCCCTGCAACCCAGAAGAAGGAGGAAGAAGAAGAAGAAAAAAAAAAAAGGACCGAACCCATAAGAAGAAAGAGAGAAAAAAAAAAAAAGTGCCAGACAGGTTTTTTTAAAAAAATTAAAAAATTATTTTATTTGCCACGTGGCAGATATTTGGCAGCCACGTGGCATATATGTGGCAACCATGTCAGCATTTAACAGATCCATGGATGGAAAATGTAACGGTTGTATGAAATTGAAATAAAATAGTACTTGAGGTATGAAAGTGAAATGTTTTAAAGATGTTGTATAAGATTGCAATAGACCTCAAACCTGAAGGGCTACTATGTAATTTACCCTTTATTTTTTGTTTGCTCGCATACAACAAAAGATATTGGAGTCAAACTCGGGACCTCGGGTGCAGAACCTGAAACTCGAGACCCCGGGATGATAAATTGACAAGAAAAGAAACGAGTTTACTGTTTTTCATCTGTACTAACTACATGATTAGCAATTCACGCATGCATCATGACTCCGCCAATGGATTTATATTAGCTTGTACCCCACTGTCATTTTCAGCTAGAATCATTAACCAAAAAAAGAAGATTGATTCAACTAAATTCAGATGGAGAAAACCTTGTTTTGTAAGGTGTATACACTTCTCCACAAAGCAGAGTGTTAGATCAAGGTGTATACAGCCCGTTTCATACAAGTTTTTCTCGACCCGAAGACTTAAAAGAGTCAGATGGGAGTAGTATCACATCAGGATTCAGGTGGCAAATGATAGACAAAGGAACTTAAAAAGTTTGCAGGAGTATTGTACATTGTTAAATACAGATACACCCAAAGTCGGATACCGATAGTTCGCTCTCGGGAACAAACCTTTATAGAGGTGAAATGACGAAACGGTTTCCGTTCCCTGAGAGTTTGAATAAGAAGTTGGGTACTGTCCCGTCTGTCCACATATTGACTGGGAAAGCTTACACTACGAATGCATCTAAAGGCAGAGTCCTCCTTCAGGTTAGCCACTTATTCAGCAATTCTGTGTTGGGAGGATGATCCTTTAAGCTGGCCAGATGGAACTGCGAAAACAGAAAGGCAAATACTCAAATCAATCATCATTCGAACTTACTTACAGATGATTTATATCAAATCGTTAAATAAGTCATTACAAACACCGAAAACTGACCTTTAGTAATCCAGCTCCATCCGCCGCTTCTTTGTTTTCCACTGATTCAGAATAAATGCAACTCCATCTTTTAGTGAAGCCCTTCGTCCCTCTTTGTAGTTCCACAATTCCGACGTAATGTACCTGCCACTAGGGTTGTATTCATTGATCTCTGTTAAAGCTGATATTACAGCGTTGCACACTTCCTCACCCAGTTCTTTCTTCAAATCTTTCAATTTTTCATCCTCGACGGATATAACTTCCTGAACATAAAAAGATAAACTAGTGAAAAGGAAGCAAAGGGGCAGCGAGCAAGTGCCAAGTGATTCACAAGGAAAAAGCACGGAGAGCCATTAGAGTATGATTAAAGCTTAAAAATTAGATGATTCAATAATAGCATAAGACTAAAATTTATGCTGTCAACTTTTGTATGTGGGATAATAATGTTGCAAATATTATTGCCCTCAAAGCAGGTTTATCGACCAAAGTAATTAATAGATGCTCACATTGTAATGCATAATGCGTTTTGACAGCGGAGAGTCCATTTCCAACCAGAAATTATAAATGACAATAAAATACAAACCAAACAAACATGTGAATGGAGATCCTATTTGATGAACATCAGCTACCGTCACTGGGAAAGGATTTTGCCACCACAATCACAAATTTGGCACAACTAGTTTTATAAGCAACAAAGAGAAATAACTCACGGGGATAGCCCAACTAGTTCAATCTAAGAAATCTTTTTCATTTATGCCAACATATTGGATACTTTTTTTTTGTCAGATGCTTTCTTGTGCTACGAGAAACAGCAGAAGAACCCAACACAATGAAAAAATGGTATTAGAGAGTACCTTATGCTTCCCGTCGACTGTAGTAACTTTGAAAGGATGCCATTCTGGGTCCTTCAGGTATTCTACCCACAAGGAGCACAGCTCCATTGCCTTCTCTTCTGCTTCTTCCTCATTATACTTTCTCTTCAGTGCTTCTTGGAACGGTTTACTGTCAAGCTCACCCATTCTCCTAACACCAATTTGTGCACTACTTGATATTTCCTTCAATCCCTGCAGATTTAAGAATATTAGTAGCTTATCATAAGCATAAGAAGCTAAGAACAGAACCTTAAGAATTATCTGGTGCACAAAGGGTCATTCCACATTACAGTACAAAATCGAAGATCCACTCCAGTGAAAAGCATTTACATAAACAAACAAAAGCATGTCTGCCTTACAATTTCAGAGTCAAATATCAACCAGTTTTTGCAAAACATGAAAGTAAGGACACATAATTAAATTCTGAATTCTTGAAAGATCATCTGAAATGTCAGAAGTCTTTTTTAGTATAAAGAGATGTAATGGAGCAACATTTATATTAAAATCAAACAGAAAAACTTACATTAATCAATTCCCTCCGGGCTTCCTGCAGCTCATCATTGCTCTTGCGCTCCTTTACAATTAAAGTTTGATTTAAAGCTTCTAAGTCTTCTAGTGATTCTTCCTTTTCTCTCAAGCCTTTGATCATGTTGTCCACCTTTTTCAGCACTTCAACATCACCGTCATCCCCCATGCGCCTTACAACATTTAAGTTCCCTCTTAGTTGCTCAATTTCCAATTCAAGAGTTTGCTTTGTATCCAGTTGCTGTTGCAGCTTAATTATTTTATTGTGGAGCTGTTCCTTTTGCCTCTGGATCAAAATGGTTGTCACATACATCAAAGATCTTCTCTGAAATCAATATATAATGTTCAGATCATTTTTAAGCACTTAAAAATAGCCAACAAACCTTCTGATCTTCAGCCAGTTTCAATAAATTTGCATTAGCCTTCAGTTGCTCCATAGAAGCCAAGTGAAGAGAACTATTTTTTATGGAATTCTACAAGAACAACAACATCACTGTTATCAAGTGTTCGGAACCATCCTTAAAGGTTTCAACAACAATGACTACAAATTAAATGCAACTCATGCTGCAATCTAAAAGTAACCAAGACAAAAAACATCACACAATATAAATAAATTAAACACAAATGCATCAAGCCTAAAATACTCATGATACAATTTGATGACACTTGAATATCATGCTAATTTTCAGTAACTTTCAACAAACTAGTTTCCATCCTTTCAATATTCATAATTTATATAAGTTCACAAGAATTTAATCATGAAATCTAAGAGAGAATGTGCAACAATGGTGCAGAACTTAGTAAACCTTTTCAATCTCCTCAGCAAGCTTCCTACTTTCATCTTCGTTGGCAACTGCACGCTTCTCCATTTCTTCTATGCGGGACTCTAGCTCTTTCTTTTGAGTTTCGAGTTGCAACTTAAGTTTTTCATGGTCGCCAAAAATCCTCTGAAAGTGATCCCGAGCGCTCGTCTGTATCTTTTTAATCTCTATCAAAACAAAAAAAATGCATGTCAGGAAGTAATGTTGCTACAGCCTCATACCAGTATAAAATGATAATGAAATATAATAAACCCAAAATGGTGAAAACCAAGCCACTTTATCCAAATCATGCAGAAACCGTACAGCTGCAGAAATGGAATATAACGAATGTAATAGATACTTGGGATTCAACTCTAATGAGGGAATCAGAAAAGTAAGCAAAAAAAAAAAAAAAAAAAAAAAAGCTGTAACTTCATTCTATTTGATAAATAGCACTCTTCCATTTTTTTTAATGAATAAAACAAAATCTTACCTTCATTATAAGTCTGAATGATCTTTTCTTTCTCTGTGATTACGCTCTTAATGGAGTTTGTAGTTTCACTACATTTCAGCTCCATCTCTTCCAAGTCTTTGTACTTGACCTCAATGATGTTGTTAAGATTAGTTACTAGTCTATCCTGCTTCCTGGCTTCTTCCTCCGTAATTTCAGAAATTGATTTAAGGTCTCCAATCTTGCGGAGGTGTTCTCCAACAATATTAGAAGCTTTATAGTCATCTGAACGAGCAACCCAAGCATAAAGTCCAGATTTTTGGTCACTGTTAATCTCCCAGTCCTTTTTTCCATGATGGTCTACATCATACGCCTTCTCAAATGACATGGCATTAACATAGCCAGGCCAATCTTTCCTAAACTCCACGATCGCACTTCCCGAGTGACCCCGAAAATTCCATAAAGGGTGCACCCTTAAGGGATTGAACCCTCTCCTTATTAGCTCATCTCTCAGTTTCGATCCACTTTCCCCGACGTATCGCCCATCATTGGCCCGTCTGGTTGGAATATTAACCACTACCCCTGTCCAAGGCCACACTAACTTTTCATCGTGGTCACAATCAATTGGGGGTTCTTCCTCACCCACACGTTTAGATGGGCCACCTTCAGCTGCTAGATCATTTTCCAAATATTTCACCACAGCTAAGTGTTTGGCCTTTTCTTCTGTGCTTCTCTTTTCTGAAGTACTCTTTCCCACCCCAGAAGCATGTTGGAGAAGGTCCTTGCGAACAGAACCCCGCTTTTTCTTATTCGGGCAGAAAGGGCAAGTATATGTCCCATCTGAGTTTCTCACACTGTGTTTTCCATTCTTCAGCTCTTCATAATATTCTTCTACCTCCTCATCCAATTCTGTTTCACTCATATCAGTATCATCTTCAGAGCTATGATCCGCCACACTCCCCATTTGAACTTTGTTTAAAGAGCACTAAACCATGAAAACATAAAATATTGAATATCAATGTCACTAGTCAAAATTGTGAGAATTCGATGGTTTTTAATGGTTCATTTTGTGGGAAGCAGAACATGTGCAACGGCAGGTTAAAGAGGTAGATATAAGTGTTTAGTTGCCGCCGTTGAGTTTGAAGTGTCTAGTACGGATCAATACTGTTAATCTAATTTCTTGCGAACTTGACACTATTTGCACCACAAAACCCAACATAAACGTCCCCAATAAAGTTCAGGAAAAGAAAAGCTTATGGGTAAATTTGTTGCTCCCTAAGCACCGAATCAACGGATTCAAAATTAAAAGCAAAGTGAAGCCAGAAAAGAAAGGACAAGCATAACCAAAGCTACACCAACATTCAGGATACATAAAGAAATCACACAAATTAAGGCTTAGGGTTACACAAGTTGAGTCCTTGTACAGCAGTGAAACCGCTTTATATAGAATTCGGGTTCGGTCTCCGCATCATTCCTTTAATTCTCTACTGCAAAATCACTCATAGGACAATTTCCAAAATAAAAATCTATCTTTGCCTTAAAAGAAACATTTTGCCATATGAAACCGCATTGTAACAAAATTCACGCAACCCTGAAAAATCATCAAAATTCCAAAAGAAAAATCGCCAAAAAATTAAATGAAAACCATACATAAATAGTGTCCTAATGTTATTCCATCGATTAAACAAACACATACACACAAATTATACAAGCAGATGCCGCAGATCAGAGAAAACACAGAGCAAAACGGAAGCTGAAGCTGCAAAGCTCGAAGCCAAACAACCCAAAAGCCCAAAATTCACAATGCATGCTGTAATTCAACATTTCAACCAAACAAGCACATGCATGTAACGGAACAAGCAAACCCAACAGCGATCAGCTAAATTATGGAGAGAGAGAGAGAGATTGACCTGCGGAAATCGGAGCTCCTGAGCTCCAAAATTAGGGTTTGGGGGGGAAGAAGAATTGGGGGCAGGGCTCTGAGTGAGTCGCAGCAGCTCAGTGCCCAGCGGAGGCCACAAAAGCGAAAGAGGAAATTGGTAATTGGAGCACTGTGCTGTCCGCGACAAGTGACAAAATCGAGAGGGCGACAAATGTATGAAATTGGAGACGTCACAATCCTAACCTAACAAACCTTTATATATAGCATTTCTATAAGGGACGCAAAACCTCTTTTACATCCCCATTTTCTTGTTCGATTGAAGTAAATAGTTTTGTTCTAAAGTTGATTTACTCAATATTTGTATCTATATAATTATGATGTGTTTAATTTTAATTTGGATCAAATGTGATTGTCGGATTAAAAAAGGGTTCAGATAATTCATTTTTCATAATGGAGTATAGAGACCGAGTGTCATAATAAAAAAGATACGTTATATGTGTTGTGGGTTTGCCTTTTTCCAATTTTGTCAGTCAAGTGCAAGTAACTCGTGAGTAACTCACGTGTTTAGTATCTTTAGCTACGTTTCACATGCAACACTTTAATCAGTTTCTTGTTAATGTAATGTCTGGTTCACGAGATGTGACTTTTACATTTTCAAATTTCAGTGTATTGAAACATGTACGTTGTGGGTGGGTGGTGTGCAAATATGCCATATACATAAGTTATTGCATCTCTTGTTTAAGATGTATTAGTACTTTGATAAGTACGACGTGTTTGTTTAGCAAACAAAGTATTATTGTCAAGAAATTATCAAAAATGAATTGATAACTACATATAACCTAACAAGTTTGGAAGAAAATATGCGTCAAATTAACAAATTCGGGAATAAATAAATTATTAACAAGTACATAATAAATTTCAAGATCAGTGTGCCAAAGGCCATCTAAACACTTCATTGCCATCTCTGGTTCTAGTCTTGGGTGATCCTTTACGATTGTAATCCACCTTGCATTATATATAAAATTGTTAATAACTTGTTAACACGATTTGAATTCACACGAAAAATTTAATGTTCAAGTTGTGCTTAATTAGGTCATATATGTAGCAATGGATCAATAAGTCATCCATCAAAATAACATGTCATTTCATGTCAATCATCATATCACATGTTTTAACTGTTAAAAGAATAAAATTACATTAGTACTTATTTAAATATCATGTGTATAATATAAAGTATTTTTCATCAATAGAGTGAGGAAGAAAATATAACATGTGAATAAAATTAATATTACATTAGTACTTATTTAAATAAATAAATTATTTACAATTTTCATATATATTTTACTAAAATATACCAGCAATCGGCACACACGCTCCATGTGTGCAACAAAATTTATTTTTTATTTGACTACAACTTATCGTTAATGAGCACGGATGACAACTCAAAAAAGAAAAAGACAAATAAAAAAATAGAAGAGAAAAAGGTAGGAGAACCTAGGGAAGGTAGAGAGGAAAATGAGGAGAAAAGTGAGGTTTATTTATTTATTTTAATTTTTAAATAGGATATGCTATATTTACATGGTTCTGATGTTAGTATAAAAAAACAGTAAAATTTGTGTTATGCGTAATTACTAAATTGTTTATTTTTTTTTATTTTTGTTCAATTATAATGAGAGAGCTAGAATGGTAATTTGCTAAAATTTTAATTGATAAATAGAATTTTATTAATAGGTAATTTAGATAAATACCGAATAGAGCGAGTGAAAAAATATAACATGTGCAAATGCAATAAACATAGTAACACTCAATGTTTACTGTTTTAGCGGGTCGGTTAGGCGCATCAACCCGTAACCCGTTAATAAACTTTAACGCTCCAGATCCGACCCGCTCCCCAGGTCGCCTTCTCATCCCCACCCCTATGTTTCTCGCAAACTCAGACGCACATAGACGAGTGAGCTTCCAGGAGCACCAGAAAACCGTGGCGGAAGATGTTCAATCAGTTCGGAGCAACGGCGGAGACTCTAAGCAAGGCGTCGACACTGGTGTTCCGGATCGGCACCGACGCCCACCTCTACGACGATCCCGACGTCAGCATCGCTCCTCTCCTGGACAGCAGGTTCGACTCCGAGAAGTGCGAGGCTCTCAAGCGTTTACTCGCTCTCATCGCCCAGGGATTCGAAGTCTCCAATTTCTTCCCTCAGGTACCTCTCCAACTTCATCACTCTCGACTTCGAATCCCAAAAAAAAGAAAGATAAAAATTGAATAATCGTAGCCATCAATTTAGTAATTTGAAATTCGATTTGGTTGAATTGGAATCGCAGGTTGTGAAGAACGTAGCGTCGCAGTCATTGGAAGTGAAGAAGCTCGTTTACGTGTACTTGCTGCATTATGCTCAAAAGTAAGCTAAATTCAACCTTTTGATTTCAACCGAATCGTTTACTCAAATTTTGAGCTTTTTTTTTTTTTTTTTTTTGCTTTTGTTTTAAGTATTTTTCATGCTTACTTTAATTTAGGCGTCCGAATGAAGCGTTGCTGTCAATTAATTATTTCCAGAAGGATTTAGGGGATCCAAATCCGTTAGTGAGGGCGTGGGCGCTGAGAACCATGGCGGGGATACGCCTGCACGTTATTGCACCTTTGGTTCTTGTTGCAGCCAGAAAATGTGCTAGAGATCCGTCTGTGTATGTTAGGAAATGCGCGGCCAATGCACTTCCTAAGCTGCACGATTTGCGCCTTGAGGAGAATACTGTGGGGATTGAAGAGGTTTGATTTCGGTGCTTATTTGTAGTTCTCATCATTAAGATGTTGATGATCAATTGATTTGATCTTATGATCTGCTGTCTGTTCTCTTATGTAAGCTATAAAAAGTCCATCCGTTGGTCCCGTTGATATTTCATCGGAAATGATTGTGAAATCACATGTCCTGTGCAAATTCATTTCATGTATTGACGTTTGCGATGCTTGTGTCCCGATCATCACAACCTTTCTAGTCTGTACATTGTATTGTACTAGCTGCATTGCCATATTTGTATATGTGTTTATCTTATATCATTATAACATCCGAAACTCTAGGTCCAGTGTCACTAATGTTCGTATAATGGTCTTCTCTGTGCAGATTATTGGAACATTGTTGAATGACTCTTCCCCTTGTGTCGTTGGAGCTGCTGCTGCTGCTTTCTCTTCTGTTTGTCCAAATAATTTGTCACTGATTGGAAGGAACTATAAAAGGTTATGTGAGGTTCTTCCTGATGTGGAAGAATGGGGTAAAATAGTTTTAATTGGGATCCTTTTGCGCTATGTAGTCGCAAGGCATGGGCTTATAAAGGAATCCATTATGTTCTCTTTGCATGGAACAGCGAATTCTCGATCTGAAAAGGATTGTGCGGACACCAACTCTGCGTTGGATGACGATGGTGACATTAATGGTCTTTATGAGTCTGAATTAACAAATGCTGTATCCCGTTGTTATATTGAAGGACCAGCTGAATACTTATCACGATTAAGTTTCATGAATAAAGATTCCTCTGAATTTAATTATGCTCGTTTTACATCTGGAAAGAATAACGATGATGTGAAGATCCTGCTGCAATGTACATCGCCATTGTTGTGGAGTAATAATAGTGCAGTTGTACTAGCAGCTGCTGGTGTACATTGGATTATGGCATCAACGGAGGATTTAAAAAGAATCATTAAGCCGCTCTTGTTCGTTCTAAGATCATCCAATGCCTCAAAATATGTGGTAGTTAACATTTCCTTGCAGTTAATTAGTTTGTATGAGCATTGAAGTACTTTTTTTTTTTTTTTAAGTTTATTGATGCATGCACGTGACTGTGAATTCATATATTGTTGATATTTCATAAACATTTCTTTTGTCCTCTTTGAATTTTCTTTTCTTAATTTACAGTTGGTAAGATGGTAAGGATCGTTTTATTGATTGACCAGTGCAGGTTTTATGTAACATTCAAGTATTTGCCAAAGCAATTCCTTCACTCTTCTCTCCATACTTTGAAGACTTCTTTATATGCTCTTCGGAATCATATCAAATTAAAGCTTTGAAACTGGATATACTGGCTTACATCGCTACAGATTCATCAATTTCGTTTATACTCAAAGAATTTCAGGTAGTTTTTTCCCCTTTGAAATTAGATTTTTCTTTTCCTCTTACCACAGATACTCATGTCTGCTAGATTGTTCATAATATTAAGTGCATGTTTGCTTGATTTATTTGTTAGCTATGCACCATCAACTTTATTTGAGAATTTCAAACTTGTATGTGTTACAATTTGTAAAATGAAAGCCGGGTATGCTTTGCTTATTGTTTGTGTTTGTTGCTAGGATTATATTAGAGATCCCGACAGGAGATTTGCTGCCGATACTGTTGCTGGAATTGGCATATGTGCGCAACGACTTCCAGAAATGGCAAATGCATGCTTGGAATTTCTATTGGCTTTGACCAGACAGCGTCTGTGACTATCTACCTGTTGTATTGATCTTCAGAAAGTTTTGCTTCTTGAGTTCTGAACTAATATCTAATTTTGCAGAACTTATGACTGGTGAGTTTGGGTCTGTGGATGCCGAAGCAGATATATTGATTCAAGCAATAATGTCTATTAAGTCAATCATTCAGCTAGATCCACCGAGTCATGAAAAGGTATTTTCAATTTTCTGCTGAGTTGCTGTCATTAGATGTCTAATCAGGGGTGTAGAGGTGATTTACTAGTGTTGTTTGTGATGCCTTGTTACCTTGTCTTTCTTCTCTCTGTTTTTTGGGGCATTTATTAACTGACATTTACACCTTTTCAAGGTTATTATTCAATTGGTTCGAAGTTTAACTTCAATAAGGGTGCCTGCTGCACGTGCTATGGTTGTTTGGATGCTGGGGGAGTATAACTCTTTAGGTGATCTCATCCCAAGGATGTTAGCTACAGTGCTCAAGTATCTTGCAGGGTGCTTTGCTTCTGAAGAAGTGGAAACAAAGCTTCAGATTTGTAATACCGCTGTTAAGGTACTACTGCATGGAGGTCTTCTCTAAGTACATGGGGTGAATGTGACTATGTTTCTTTCTAAATGTTGAGGTTATCTGTTCTGTAGGTTTTATTGGGGGCAAAAGGGGATGACGTGTTGACAATCAAAATGGTTTTAATCTACGTGTTGGAGCTGGCCAAATGCGACTTAAATTATGACGTTCGTGACCGAGCTCATTTCTTAAAGAAACTCCTGTCAACTTATTTAGATTCTCAATGTCTGGAGGAGGGAACCAACCGTCCGGGTCAACAAAAAGATAGTTCACTTCTCCTGGCAGAAAACTTGTTTGGGAAACAAAATAAACCAGTGTGCCATGAGCCCATTGATCACCGGTTTTACCTTCCTGGCTCTTTATCGCAGATAGTACTTCATGCTGCTCCAGGGTATGAGCCTCTCCCAAAGCCCTGTAGTTTGCGCTGTGATGGCCCCGAAATGAATGAAAATGGTGAATCATATGTTACAGACGATGAGGACTCAGCGTCTGAATCTTTGGATGAGGAAATTGCTTCTAGTTACAGTTCGCAACGTTCTAATGTTGATTCAACTGGCACTGATGACGGTGAAGACGCTGGTTCTGCAAGTGAAGACGATGACAATTCTCATCAGTTGATTCAGTTTTCAGATGAAAGGAAAAATGGAGCTTCTCAGTCTGCTTCTGATTTTGGCGAATTGTTGTCAAATAGAGCTTTAGAATCATGGTTAGATGACCAACCTGGTTTTTCAAAACCAAATACTTCAGAACACACTCAACACAGTCAAGTCCGTACATCTTCAGCAAGAATCTCCATCGGGGATATTGGAGGTCAAGTTAGACCTAAAAGATATCCACTCTTGGACCCTGTGAATGGAAATGGCTTAAAGGTTGACTATTCATTTTCATCTGAGATTTCAAGTATCTCTCCTCTGTTTATATGTATAGAAGTTTCCTTCAAGAACTGCTCAAATGAGACCATGTCTGATATAACTTTTGTGGATGAGGAATCCGGAAAAGGCAAGGACTCTGTAGAGCAATCGTCGTTTTCAGATGAAAGGTAATTTAACTGTACATGTCTGGTAATTTAACTCACAATACAAAATACTTCTGCAATAAATACTTGATATGTCATGCCTGAGATACATAAATTGGCTATCTTTTGGTTAGGAACTCTCGACCATTTTTGGTTATAGAACAGGATGATGATTACTTTGTTAAAACCCATGTGTTATACTTTAGGTTGAGGTTAATAGGCCAAATAAGTTGTTTTTATGGTGGATTTGTCAAATAAATCTGCACGCAAAAGCATTTCTGGAGATTTCTTTAAGATCTACTATCATTATATCTTACTATTCTTAATGATCCTAAGTGAGATCTAATGGAGTAGTTTGGTTAGGCTTTAGTGAATTTTTACAGTTTCCAGACTGGTCCGTGCTATGCCTGGGGGTTCCACTGTTCATAATCGAGCAGGATGATTTAATAAAATGCATTTGTTTTATTCTTGTATCATGTATTAAGAATGTTTATTTCTTTTGTAAGGGCCTAATCTTTTGTTACGATTATCTTGATACCGCAGCTCCACGATACCTCAAAGTAATGAGCCAAATCTAGTTGCTGTAGAAGAGATCACTTCTCTGGAACCTGGTCAGACTATAACAAGAAGCATCCAGGTCCGCTTCCATCACCACCTCTTGCCTCTAAAACTGGCCTTATATTGTAACGGCAAGAGGCATCCTATTAAGTTGCGGCCTGACATTGGATACTTTGTAAAAGCTCTTCCTATGGATGTTGAAGCCTTTACAAATAAGGAGTCTCAACTGCGTGGAATGTTTGAATGCGTAAGAAGGTAAACTGACTCTTTTTTTTTCTATTGTCGTATAGGCAAATTTCACTTATTGATAATAGTTTCCGAAAAGCCCCTTCTCATTCGGTCTTTGTAATTCTATAATATTGTGTTTTCTTCAACAGGTGCACCTTCACTGACCATATCAAGGAGTTGGACAAGGACAAGGGTGATAATTCATTGGTGGAAGACAAATTTCTCGTAATCTGCCGAAGTCTTGCATTGAAGATGCTCAGCAATGCAAATCTTCATCTTGTATCCGTTGATTTGCCAGTTGCAGCAAAGCTTGATGATGCAACAGGCCTGTGCTTACGGTTCAGCAGCAAGATTTTAAGCACCTCTGCCCCCTGCTTGATAACCATTACTGTCGAAGGTAGATGTTCCGAACCATTGGAAATGTCAGTTAAAGTAAACTGTGAAGAAACTGTGTTTGGGTTGAATCTTCTGAACAGGATCGTAAATTTCTTAGTTGAGCCCTCCCATGCCCACGTGAGTTCGTAAGGACATTGGAAACCAGTAATTGAGTTTTGGAGAGAACATAGAAAACCCGCCGTGTACTGCCAACTCTTCTGGCTATCCGTATGTTTAATGTATTTCTGTACAGCGGGCAAAAGCTCGGTATTACACTCATTCACAGAATTGTCTCGAGTTCATTTTCTTTCGCTCGGAAAGTGTTCGTTCTTGATTTTCAGTCTCTACTTCTTGTAATTTATGGGACATGAAATTTTATGTAATTTAAATCCATATGAAGTACACATTTCCAGTGGAATGATTGAAGAGAGTGTACAATAAGTTATTAGCTAATCACATTTAATTTCTCTGCACAGTGATTAATCTTTCGCCGGAGCTAGTTACATTTCGATTAACCGATGACGTTAAAGCTACAGGCTATGCCCTTCTGCAACTCTTGTTATTTTGGCTCACAACGGCAGCAGGTACCGGAACTCGGATTCATAAGGCTGGACTTCCACCGTTCTGATTATCGGAGACTTCGTCTCTCCATTCAAGCATTCCATTATCAATTGTTTCAACGAACCAGACCGCGGCAGTTGGCTGTAAATCCATTCCAGCAATGATTCCATACCGTCTGCAAAATCGAGCATGTTCCATTGAAGGAGCTTGGGCACCACAATTTTCTTCTTGCTTGTGACTCCCACCGAAGCTTCCAAGTACTCCAGTTTTGCTCTCTCCAACTCATTGACTATGTCGTCGGAGGTGTAAACCCTTAACTGCATGCACATCAGAGCTTAATTTCATCAAATCTACGGAGAAAAATGTTGTGAAATAACGTAGGGGAGAGCTAGGCACTCCTTACTGCCGGTGAGGACCAACTGCCGCGGCAAAGAGCAAATGTGACGTTAGGTTCAGGGTATCCGAGACCGTACGCATGTCTTAGTAGCATTTCCTTCTCATAGGCAGGCCCCTACCGAGTGATGTAAATTAATCAGGAAAAAAACATACATATGAAGAAAGAAAAAAAGAGAGGGTGCAGTTGGAGATCAAGTTTTGATATCTGTTTCACGTACATGTTTCGATTCAGATGGATGGCGGAGAATGAAATGCTCGATAGCCAGAGCATTCAGCACTATGCCTCCGACATTTAGAGCAGCCTAGGCGAAAACGGGATCATTTAGTCTCAGTATTATATGAAAGCTATAAATCTAACCTCATTTTTTAGCCGTCTGCACTCCCAACTGAATGTTTTACGATTTTTTCTACGAATGACAGAATTGGTGTACCTTGTTCATAAGTGCCAGCAGTTTCTCCGGTGTGGACGGCAGCCCATGTTCCAGAAATGCCTGAAATTTGATAAGAAATAGAAGCTCCGATTACATATCATTCTCGGATTTTTCGGTTTCTTACTAAACATTGCTTAAGATCTCTTACAGTACATGCATGATGCAGGCGTTGTAGATGTTGATCCAGAACGCCAACTTTTGCTTGTAGGTCAAGGAAGTCAAGTCCACGTCACACAGCTGATGCATCAAATTCCTGAATTCACAAGAAAAAAATGTCGTCGAAACAATACTTTCCGGTTTTGACAATACTTGTAGGCCAAGCAGGTAGTTACCTCAACTTTTCGATTGCATTCAAACACTCAGACAATCGGCTGACATCAAACGTGCTCCTCGTGATCTGGATGAAGTTTTTGTACGGGCCAACATCCCTGACAGCACCGTCTAAGTCGGGCAATATGCAGTAAGGGTCGGCATTGGACGAGGTGTTGTAGTTGAAGAAAATTGTGGATGATTTGCAGTTGAATGAGGTCTTCGGAATGAGCCCCTTCGAGTTCATGCAGGAAAGTGCAAGCTTTGGGACAACAGATGATCCCTCCTTGTCGAGTGATGTTTGTTTCAGTTCAAGAAATATGGATATAAGGCACTTGAGAAGTTCTTCCGAGAGTTCATTTGGTTTCAGATCATTTTCTCCATGGCCCTGGTTTCTGCTTCTTCCCCTTTGTCTCCTTGATAATTCAGCAGTTTCACCTGTTCAAACACACATAAAGAAGAATTATTTATTTGTAACGAACGGACACGTCGAGAAACAGTCATTTCTACGTAGTAATCTTAAATTTCGATCCCGTTTATTGACATGGGTTGATTGTTTTAGCCTTTTAGGGTGTAAAATCGCGACGATTTAATCAACATTTAAATCTAAAACTTTAGGATTCTAGTCTCAGATCGGTAATCACTTCGGTAAAGAACAGACGTCCTGCATGCATAATCTTGACAATTAATAATCAACCCTATCAATAAATGAGATTAAACCAGAGTTGAGTAAATATGATCATAAGTGAGATTTCCATGATATTTCCGTCCTTTGATAAAGAACAGACGTCCTGCATACATAATCTTGACGGGATTGTCATCTACTGAAATTAGACTATTGGAACAATCCAATTCCAGTCAGATTCATTGAAGAGTATACAATCTCACATCGGAAATCTTACGAAATAAAATACATCGTACGTTAGGTGGTTCAATTACTAATAGCATTGAGACCTTTAGTAATAACAAGCAGTTTACCATCAGCATATGTGAAATTCCATCTTGGGATATCTGCTGCAGAACCTACAGAAGCTCTTCTATCCTTCAACCTTCTTTCTTTTCTCAAATTTCTCAAAGCTTCGTAGTTCTGTGATCTGCATCTCTCTTCATTCACCACTGACTGGTTTCCCACCCTGCATAACAAGTGATTCTGTTGCCCTAATTGCTTCCGCTGTACTTCCCACTCTCTTGTTTGTTCCCTCTCATGGTACAACCTCAGTTTCAGCTCTTCGACTTTTCTTTCGAGTTGACCTATCTCTTCCTCCACCATTGCCAGCTCCAAAAACAGCTCCTGAAACTGCCATACAAAAATGTGTCGATATAATTGTAGCAAACAAAACTTACTGAAATTATTTCAACATCGAGGGTGTGTCCCTTATTTATATCCATAGTCGCGTTCAAAGTGCTTATATTGTCATACTGTGAATCTAGACCACATGTTCATGCAAAAATTAATGTGACCAAACTGGTCTAGACTCATAGTCTGTCAACAGAGTCTTGTTATATTAACACAACGATACCTGAGGTGGAAACAACGATAAAAGACAAGGATGACTGAACAGGTCCATGGAGTGCACATTGCAGAAACCTGCCAAGTGTTTGTTCTCCATCCAACTCTGCCTGCAATTTCTTAACCTGTATAAATACAGAAGAATTTGACTCTGTGTCAAGCTTATGTGACAAATTCCTAACATGTTACACAGAATTCTACGCCGGAAACAAGCGAAAAACTTAAAACAATCATCACCTCTTCCTCAAGGTCGAGTTTTTTCTGCTTCTCCTCGCTTCGCTGCATTAGAAAGTCTTCGAATTTCATTATTTGCAGAGGCAAAGATCACCACCAGCTAACAGTTTGGGAATCTGAGGGCTGCAGGAATAATGGAAGTTGTTGAGGCAGGGAGAGGTGCCTAAAACAAAGGGAGAGTGAGGTGACTTCGTGGGTGCCATTAAGGGTAGGTAGAAGACAAGAGGAGGAGGTTGAGATTTGAGAAGATTGGGAGGGAAGGAAGGAGAAGAGTGAAAAATTGTGAGATTGAAATGCATGAGAGAATGGAGAATGTGCGGTGGAAGAAAATCTCGGATAACTAGGTATCAAACTCATCACAAATATATACTGACATCGTCATTAATTTACGTGAGTTAAAAAAGAGACTTATTCTGTTCAAACTTCAAATGAAGATAAATATCATTAAACGAAAAGATAGTTGATGCGCTAGAAGAATCTTTGAAGGACGTAAATATGTGATTGTATACGGTTGGAATTGTTATCATTATTGTTGGTGTTAGGGGAAGTGCATGGCAATCCCATGATCTCTTTTTTCTAAAAGTTGAATTTCTATTTAATTTCAACTGCAGGAGGAGGGCGGTGGGGACGTGAAGTCCATGAACACAAAAAATAAGACGCCAAATTTGAAAAAGTAAATAAAAGAAAATAAAAAAATAAAAAAACAGAGAATATAATTATATATTTAAAAACGCCGTCTGTGGGAATCGAACCCACGACCACATGGTTAAAAGCCATGCGCTCTACCAGCTGAGCTAAGACGGCAGATGATATAGATTTGAATAATTAATTATTTTGTTTCCGGTGTTAATATCTCCCATGAGTTATTAGGGAGCTTTGAAAATCTGTGAGAGACTGGGACAGTTGGGAGTTGGGACTAATCACAAAATAAACCAAATAAGTAATTTCTTACTCTGGATAAAAGGGCGAAATATTTTTTCTTATACAAGCAATAATAGGGAAAAGAAATTCGTATACATAATCTTACAGAGTCGGAAGCATAGATGTGCGAGAAGATAAAATCATTACGGAATTTGCTTTCAAACCCAAGAACCAAGGATTTGAGAGATTACAAGGAGGCTAAAGTGGAAATAAGCCTAGGCCTTGCAAACACACCAGCCCCAAAATCCTCTCTTACTTGGAGCTTATCTACGATCAGCATGGGTCCCACAGATCGAGTGTGGGCCCGGACTCGAACTCAAACCCTACTCTGCAATGCAACCCCATCTGCAGACGTATTGTTTCTCTATGGATACGCAGCACTGTTCTTCCATCCTCCAAACGATTGTTCCCCGTCATCCTGTTCTACCTATAAAATGGAGACCAAAAAAAACCACACCCACATCAATCAAACGAGAAATGGTCGTTGTTGAAAATGCGCGCTGAACTTTAAGTAAAAAAATGAAGCGAGAAAAAAGTTACTTGCGGAGTGAAAGTTAGGCCGACTTTGATCTCCCCATGATAAGTATTATTAGCGCGAACAACGCTATAGTAAAGAGGATGTTGTTCGGCAGTTCCATTCTGCACTCCCAGTGCCAATAACTCTTTCACGTATATTCTGCAAATTAAGACCAATATGATCTTCCATACAACAGTCGTGACTAAATAAGGACGTATCTATTTTCAGTGATAGATAGGTCTTTGTGTCGCATTTTATCCGTCCATTAAAAAGTGGATTAGTAGCATCACGTGACTAAAAAGTTTATCGTGTTTAGGCTGAGCTCTACATCAAAATTGTATCTGAAATAACAATGTTGTGACTTACGTCGCTTGGCCGATAAAGTCATCAGAAGTGAAGGTGTCTTGGTCCATGATCTTGAGAGTGATCTTATACTCTCCCCCTGAACCTGGATATTCTGCCCTGAACGTAAATTTCTCGTTCCACTCCGGACTGCTTCCTTGTTCTGCATTATCGTTTAAAATCAGTACATCTGTTTTTTTTTTAGTTACGCAACACAACACAACACAGAACAACACAAAAGTTGAAGTTGCCACAATGATTAAGAATTACAGTGCGACTGTTTTAATATTACAAGCAGGGCTTTCGTGCCGGTGCCGTGATCATTTGATGTAATTGATTAATTAAGTGTTTACTTGCAGACCATGAGTTAGTTGAGTACTTCAGCTTCTGGAAGGCAGCTTGTTCACGCCCTTTTAATTACTTACAATTTTAAAGGGAAGGAGAAAGCGTTGATCAATATATTAGTACGCCCACCGGTCTAGAAATACCTGCAGTATAGGGTAGATATGCCATCTAATACCAATTTATTTCTCAAAGTCTCCTATAGTTGTGCTAGAAAAAAGTCTACTAATTCGATGCATTTAGCAACAAATCATAGAATATATATATATATATATATATAGTGACGGATCTGTGACACCACTTTTTTTACATAATTTTTTACACAAGTTTTTATGGGCCCACTCCGTAATGTGTTAACTATCTCAACCTTCTATCTTTTACAACATTATTCATAGATCATCTTTGAAAAAAATTAGACAAATTCAAAATTATTAAGACACTCATTTGCAGTAAAGAAAATAGATGAATACGATTCTAAAAAGAAACCCTAAACTCTTTAATCTACGGTCATATGGTTTCGAATTTAAGTGATTTCTGGTAAACATGATCTTTGAGGAAAGACCTAAAAAATTAGATAGTTAGATCGTTAAAATACATTACGGAGTGACCCCACATTATATTTGAATTTGTTCTTGCAATGACTTGCCTTGCTCGTGCAAAAACTCGAGAAACTAGAAATACGAATATGGTTTATATTCAAGTGTTTGGTGCAAGTGGAGGTGAATTAGAAACATTAGAAGTTACCTCTGGCGACGCTGCTCTTTCTCTCTTGGCCTTTGTATTCAATCACAACATACGGATCCATACGACCTGCTAAATCATACTTTGTCTTAAAAAATACAATCATTCCACGCTCACAACAACAACAACATCAACGAACAAGTAATTTTTCATGCAGAAGTTGATGCACAATCTCCAGTGGAGCCAAAAAACCGCTTCGGTAAGCCACTGGGTTAGCCTAGCGGTGCGGGTGGGCTGGGTGATGAGTACGAGTAGGCGAAGATCACTTGGCAACAACGAAAAACAACCACTTCTGCTGGTAATAAAAATGCGTACATTTTAATAGTTTCTAAAATTTTTGAAGCAATCCAACAAATAATCCCGGAAAAAATTGGGATTACTTGAAACATTGTAAAAGTTGATTTTAACCAGAATTGGAGAGAATATATGCCGTATATTGTGGCCAAATTGTTTGAAGTTTTGAACTTTTCAAGAGTGACATGGAGATGAATAAACATAGAAATCAAAAATTTTAAGAACCCCATCAAGGTTCGTGAATGCTTTCAACTAACTACAAGTGCTCAAACAACTGAATAAATCATTGAGCGAGCTATAAATTAAACAAAATGTTGCAAAAATACAAAAGAAAGAAAGAAGAGAGAAGATTATACTGAATAAATGGGTTTCTCCAAGGCCCTTTGCACTCACAAGATTCACCTCCAATAACCCAACTGCCATCTCTCTCTCTCTCTCTCTCTCTCCTGAGATATGCGCTCTCTCTCTCTCTCTCTCTCCTGAGATATGCGAATATCAGATTCAATGGAATTCTTGTACTAAAGCTGAGAGCTTTGACATGGTTTGTAACCAAGGATTCCAAGTTATATATAATACAAACAAAAGGGCACTTGATTCTTCCATGACAGTCAACCTAAGAGCAACTCCACCTCATGAAACTCCCCTTGCAATTGGGTGATTGGATCTCCCTACCCCAAAAAAACTTGCTCCAGCACATGCCAATTGCCCCACCTATTGGGATGATATTGTTGTACTAAAGGTGAGAGCTTTGACATGGTTTGTAACGAAGGATTCCAAGCTATATATAATACAAACAAAATGACACTTGGTGGTCAACTTAAGAGCAACTCCACCCCATAGAACTTCCCTTGTAATTCGGTTATTACATCCTCTTACCCCAATAAAATTTGCTCCAGCACATGCCATTGGGTGGGCCCAACTCCCTCCAAGACCCATTGGTTGAGGCTCTGAGCAATCCGGCGAAAATGACTTGAGGCCTTGCTTGAGGCTATCTGACATCACCTACGTTATAATTTTCTTTTGCACCAAGTATATGCGTTTCACATGTGTGTGGACACGAGTGGTCCTACAAGAATCCAGCGGCGGGCCCTGCTGCAGTAGTCTTTTAATCTGGGCCCTAGGATTTCCAAATCCAATGGTCCATTTTTATTCTGGTTTTTAAATATTCAAACAATAGAAAAGAATTTGTAAACGATTTATTCTCCACGTGGCACAACCTAGACACTTGGACTGCAATAGGAAAAGCCATCCAACGGTCCATATTAATTGTGTCATTAACAATGTTTGAAAATTATAAATAAACACAAAAATTACAAAAAAATTAAAATTAAGAGTATGAACTGTGGTGTGACCGAGATGAGATTGTAACTGGGGATAATAACACGTGGCTTGATAGGGTTGTTAAAAGTCATATTTGAAAATACACATAATATGAAATTTTTCTAAAATTAATAATTAAAAATAATAATTTTTTAATGTGAATAGCTCGGGCCATTCATTTTTAGGGGCGAAGATGCACTCGAACAGTTATCGTTCAACAAGGCAGTAATTGCATTAGGTCAATAGCCCGAGCAGTAATTGCCTTAGTGGGGTGGAGTTGTTCCAAGACCAGGTCTTCCTATTAACTCAAAACTATTTTCAAATCTCAAGTGAATTTGCCAAAGCAGGTGCACAATTAAATAAAGAAAGGTATATTACTAGATCGTAATGTCAGTATCTGCTTGCTTCTCTCGTTTATAAGTAGGTTTAGGGTTTAGTTCATGATGCATTTGCTTATGGACATAACTAGTTAGTAACCAACTGAAATTGCTGCTAATAACATTGCTCCAAAGTCCAAACTATTTATACATAATCAGATATATGCCCCTTTGACGATCACGTTTGGAGACTAAATTTATAAATCAAATTTGCAAACCAGATGATATGTCATCAGTAAGAAATAAACATGTTACTTAACACTTAAGTAATAATTCAATCATCAACCACCACGTCATTTGATTAGCAAATTTAGTCTCCCGCATTACCCTTGACGGTCATATAACCATGTGCCTATATCTCTCTCGATAGACCTTTTAACGATCCTACACTCATGTGGCTCTCCCCACGTGAACATGATTCTATACAACCGGTGTTGGAACAAATTCCCTTCTCTATAAAACCCACATTGACATTTTTAATCTATCATCCTTGAAATTTCATACTTAGATATGAATTGAGCAGCGGATTTGACCAAAGTACGAATTATTATTATTTGTTTCAATTTAGGACACATCAAATAAAACCAGAGAACTTTAGCGGTCCAAAGAAACCAAACCAAGGTTTTAATTGATCCAAATGTTTGCACACAAGCCCAAAACTCAGGCACAATAAACAGATATTACAAACCCGAAATACTCAAAAATCTGCCGGACGTCATCGAACGAATGTTTGTGCATTCATACGGCAGCCTTTTCCTTATCTGCTGCGCGGAGGTGATAACTCAGCAGATCTGGACCTTGATCCAGATGGTGATCTTGATGCTCTATCAGGAGACCTCCAGTGATCTCTTCCGTCCTTATCTTCGCGCATAGGTTTCCTACAACAGCGAAACAAGAACACATGATCAACGTAAAAGATCAGCATTGCGTTCACATACATACTAAATAAAAATCAACCACTTTATAATGACAGCATGGTCCGAAAGATAATGTATAATGTGAACCCTGCAGTATAAGCTAGAAAAGTGAAGCAACTGGTGACTCACTTGTCATACCCATCGGCGTTTTCAATTGGTCCAGCCCCATTGTCATAACCTGGAGAATATGGTCTGCGATCATGATCACCGTCTCGCAATGGTGGAAGATCTCGGGGTGATCTTGGGTTGTCTCGGCGCCTTCTGCTTGGTGAAATAGAGTCACCTCGCCGTCTTGGAGCAGGAGAATAGGACCTGGGAAAGTTATTTGCCAATGTATCCACCTGCATCAGTGGGCTTTCCAAAAATGATATATAGTGAAATCAGGGAAATCTGTCACCTTCAAAGCTTACCTTGAGCGGTATCGACTTCTAGAACCTGATGGATAACGTGGAGAGCGAGAACGAGAACGTGAACGCCCTGTGACATATCAGATACGGCGATTAGTGTTTAGCAGAAATGGCATCACAAATACAACAAACCATTTCTTAACTAATTTGATTATTCACTTCAGCAATGAATAGGAAGGCAATCATATGGCTGCAGATTTCTGATTACTTAGTGAAGCCAACATGATCAATAATGTTGAGGACCATCCCTCATTGTGGTCAGAAACAGCATGCCATAATGAGTACAACTTGTACTGTCATAAGAAACATACCATAATAAGATGATCGTCTTCCCCCATGGCCTGATGGCTCTCTGCAAAATGTAAAACAGGCAATTGGTATTCCAAACATACAGAGTCAAGTTAGTAAGAAAGATACCGAGAGAGTGAGAGTGAGTCAGAATAGTAGAAACTACCTAACCCTAGTCCTCTGGCGCATCTCCTCTGGCCTTTTCCTTGTCTCTGCAGCAACCACCACAGATATCTCCCTCCCAGCAAAAATCTTCCCATTCATATGATACTGAGCCTCTGCGGCCTCATAAGAATCCACAAACTGAATAAATGCAAATCCCCGAGGTTCCCTACATAGAAGTTCAAAAAAGCTTAGTACAGTACAAAGAAGCAGAGATTAAGAGTGAGCAAAGACAGAATGTATGAGGGCAATGACTTTTCAAAATTAGCATAGTAAGTTACCACCACAGTGCCATTACTCTGTATACCTTTATTCACATACTTACGTCAGCTCTTGAGCACTTCCACTTAAGTGGATGCTGAATTTAAGTAAAGCACGTAAACTCGAAGCTTAGTGGCTGACCTTTTCTTTATAGTCAAGTATGAAAGGCAACTTCAAAATATGCAAGTAACTTGGAAATTCTTCTCATTCTTTAAGAAGCACTTGAAATCAACGTTGCCCACAAATTCTTCACATTCTTGTGATTATAAGCACTTGAAATCAACGTAGTCCTCACCAAACTTCTATTTGATCGTTGTAATTATATAATTTCGCTTCATAAAAAAGAACATTCTTCATTTGAACATTACTCCTAACACGCTTGGAATACCACTATGTTACGCAATGATAAACAGTAGGCCTTCATCAAATGTGAGGCTTGGGCTTGTTTTAACTTCAAAGTTCAAACTTCAAACACACAACCCCTGACAAACCAGTTCAACATTTCACTATGAAAAAAGAAAGTAAATATTTCAAAAAAATAGTTTACGAAATTCCACACACATGTAATATATTCCCTACTCAGACATTCTAACCAAGGATGCCAACATCGTAGGAAGTACGAAATCTGAAAGAACTAATCAAATAGCATTCTTATCAACCGAGTTTCACTGGCATAAACTATAAGCACGATATGTAAATAGATGTCGACCGCAAACCAACGAATTCACCCATTTGAAGCTTTTATATAATCTGGATAGTGCTCATTCACTTGTCAAATATAGCAAGCTCAGGTTTATTTTCAAGATTACAACCTACAAAACCATTATCGATGCATCGAACACGCATTGACAAAATTAAAGCTCACCCAGTATAGTAGTCCTTGGGAATGTAGACATCCCGAACTTCCCCGTATCTTTCAAAGGAAGCCCTCAGCTCTTCAGCTCTGCAAAATTAGACAAAAACCCCAAATTTCAGAAAACAGTGAAAACCAGCAAACAAATCAAACCAAAAATCCAAACTTTTCTTTCACAGGACCTGCAATCCAGAGGAATGTTCCGGACCAAAAGACTTCCATTATTCTGTTCCTTGCGCCTTCTTGGGGGACTTCTTCCTCGCCCACCTCCTCCTCCGCCGCCGCCGTAGCTCCTCCTCGGAGGACTATAGTACTGTGGGCTGTACCTCCTCATATCCAATACTGCAAAAGTACCCAAATCGTTTGGTTTCACGATCACATAGCAAGAAGAAGAAGAAGCAACGATTGGAATCAGGGTTTTGCCAATTTCTCTGATCGGATGAAGACCATGAAGATTCGAGAGAAGAGATTTACCTGTGAGTTTCTGAACACAGTGAATCGTACGGACGACGAGAGAAGTTCGAAGAAGGTGTACTTCTTTGGATCTGAATTTTCTGAAAGGAAAGACTTTCGAAACCCTGATTTTTATGAGCCCCGAGTTCGGTTCAGACACTCCATCTGATGACGTACTCTTGGTGGGACGTTGGGCCGGGTTTCTTTGAACCGTTTTTTGGGCCCTTAGTTTCATTTCATGCTAGCACTCGTCCTGAATTTCTACATCTTAATATTATTATTATTTTTTTTTTTTAACAAACGATACAACTAATTAGTAATAAAAGGAAAATTAATGAAAATGGCTTGAAACTTTGAGTTTTAACGATAATGACAAAATAAAGGGTAAAGTAAATAGTACCAGAATTGACTTTTTAGTGTAAAAATGTGGTTTTTCGTTAAAATGAACAGTACATCGAACTTTTCGTTAAAACTCCCATAAATAAATTGCAAGGTTTAGAATTTAACCCCATGTTTTTTGTTAAGTCACAGGATTAACCCTGAAGTTTCTCCAATGCTTTTACCACTTCATCCATATTTGGCCTACACCTGGGTTCTATTGATAAGCATTGGCTTGCAAGGTTAGCTGCTCCAAGAGCTACCCCCACAGAGTACTGGCCTTCAAGACGATCATCGAAAATTAGGACAACTTTACGTTTGCTGGCAAGGTAACGCCTCGCCCATTCGACTAAATTTTGTTCCTCAGATGGCCGGTTCTTGTCCACAGCTCGTCTGCCAGTCAGCATTTCAAGCAGAACAACTCCGAAACTATACACATCACATTTCGCGGTGCAATCACCTTCAAAAAGAAAATGAAGAACAACTGATTACTCGGGTTGTTTTTGTGTATGAACACGAGCAACCTCTTAACTACACAAAAGATACCTGTGGCTATATACTCAGGAGCTGCATAACCATGTGTTGCCATGACGTCTGTTGAAACATGGTTTCTATAACTTGCTGATCCATCCTTGCTCACACAAAAATTATAAAGCTTGGCATTGTAGGCCTGTTATGGTTCAGTCAAAGTAGGATGAGTGAGCAAGTCTACCCGAAATCCTCGAGAAGCCATACAGATCTTCACCAGCTAAATGTTTGACAGTTTCACTTACCGAATGAAGCAGGATATTACAAGCTTTAAAGTCCCGATATAAAATGTTTGCGTCGTCACCGTGAAGGAATGCTAGACCCTTAGCAGAGCCAAGGGCAATCTTCATACGAACGTTCCACGAAAGTGGTTCAAAGTAGCCTCCTGATAAGGTTCCAACAATATTTTTAGGTTCCTACGCCAGATTATATTTCATTCAAAGATCAAATGGCTAAAGAGTGATGGAAGTTCATAACTCACTTAGAAACAGATGATTATCCAAGCTCCCTTTAGCCATAAATTCATACACTAGAAGCCTACAATCATCCTCTAAGCAGTAACCGATCAGCCTCACAAGGTTTTGGTTATGGAGCTGTCTAACGCGATTAACTTCTGTCTGCAGATCAAGGGGAGCCACAAAAGTAAATCAATTAATGTCGGAAGATCATGAAGAATCTGCATATTTGAGCATGAACGATAGAAGTGCTACTCACCAACCATTCATTGCGACTCTGAAGTGGCATTTCATGTTTAAACAACACATAGCTAACAGCAATGGCCATGCCGGTACCAGGTACGGTAGCTGTGAGTGAATTCTCATCAATCCACCCCTTAAAGACACGTCTCATACGAACTCCATTAACTGTTGGATCAATACGGAAGTTCCTTGTGGCTGTTTTCAGTTCATCAATGCGGAAGCTCTTCAAGTTGAAGGGCTGCAAGATCTCACCCTCTATCTGTCGAGTTGAAGGCACCGAGACAGACGAAACCCTCACATTCGAATTCAATCCTGGACATGTAAATGTTAACATGCCATATACAGCACACGATTCTTATCTATGCAATCAGCTAAAGAGTGAATGAATCACAAGTCGCAAACCTACCATCGCGAGGCGGGTTCGAAGGTGAATCTTCATTAGCTGGTTTCTTGTCTATGCAATCAGCAGCCGCAGCTAACTGGGGCGCATTACTCGACTGGCTATTAATAAATGTTGTCTCGCTAGCATTATCCCTCTCAGTATTCTCATGCGTTGTGTCCATAGCCAAATCCCCGCGTTTCACCTTAGTGTACCCTTTCACGCTTGTGCGAATCCCGCCACTCATAGTGGTCAATATCTATGAAACTGTCCTCAATAACTGAAACTTGAAATGAAACTATTTCCCTTAACGATCAGTATTTGATAACCGTTTCGTTTTTCGTTCTAAGTTGTTTTTCACTTTCCTCATCTCTCCAACACAAAAATGAAAACTAAAAACGAAAAAAATAAAATGGTTATCAAACAGACCATAAAATTTTCAGAACTTCATAAGTAAATATCTAATCAATTGATTTGAGTACTGCCGCACTCCACAAAACATGTTCTGTATTCCAAACTCCGATGATATGGCAGCCTTTTCGTCTAATTTCAAATTTGTTTATCAACTAAAAAAGAGCAACCCCAAGCCAACAACGGGGAAGAGCGTCTATCCTACACAGCCTTATCCTTGTTAATCAACTAGGGTTATTTAAATCGAAGATGAGCAGTTGTAAAATTAAAACGATCATATAAATTTACACGATGATGCATATACAAGTAAAAATGAATTCAAAGGCCGACGAATGTAATGAAAACTCACGGTCGATGATCGAGGAGGGAGTCGAGGGACCGAGTAAAGGGGACTGCAGAGAGGTCGTCCTGCAACTGCAAGGCGGAGGAGAAACAAGTCACAAGAACAAAGATTACCAAGTTTACATATTACAGTTGACCAGACAGACACGTTTTGTAACCATGTTTTTTTATGTGAAATTTCTACACGATCATAGACAGCATATATAAACAGACTTTTCAACGTTTTCATTGAACACGATAGCGATGCAAAACCAAACCCAAGAAAAAAAAAAAACTAATAACAGAATGAGTTTTGAAATTTCCAACAGGCGACGCATGCCGGCTGGCTAACTGGTCCAACACCGATAGTGTCCCCATCTTAACCACCCGAGGTCGCGTTTCGCAATCGGCTGCTGCTTATCATTCATATAATTATCTCCAACAGAAGAAAAACAAAATGAGAGTTTGCTAGAAACTGGTTCTTCATGAAACTTGGTTTGGGACTTGGAAGTTTAATTTAATCATGGAGCTTCAGTTAGTTTATCAAATCAAGGGGAAATAATTTGTGAAGGAAAAATGTAACCAGGCAGACGACAAAAAGAATTGGAGCTAAACTTTTTGTTGAGCCAAGTTTTCTTTTGCAGACCGTTTTTGTTGAACTGCAATTACCTAAGCGGTTGGTAAGTCCCACATCGACGATAGCGTGAAGAAGGAGCTGGAATAGGCAATATAAAACAAAGCGGCGTGCAGGAGTTAAAAATCACGGAGCCATGCGTTGAGCACAAAGCGAACTATTCTTTCGCCTTTTACTAAAGAATACCGTGTGCTTGTCGCTCTAAGTGGCATACGCCTATTTTTGGAGGGGCGCACCTCTGTGGTTGCCCCTTACAATTCAGATGAAGATTATAAACATAGCTGGGACTTCAACAATTAATGAAATATGAGTTAAAAACATGGCTGGGACTAAACGAATACCGAGACTAAACGAATACCGAAATATGAAGGTAGAATTGGGAAATGCTACCGTTACTTGTATGTTCTGTAAAAAATAGAAATATGGTATAATATATGGCCTCCGCTACGGGTACGGGCATACAACTGAATAAGGTTTTGTACAAACGAGCTGCTTGAAGAAGCTGTTGAGGTGTAGAGAGAGAGATCCATGCTTGCCGCTGGCATGGTGGAAATACGGACCATGCGCGCGAGAGGCATTGAACTAGCGGCGTTGATGGTCTGCCATCATTCTGGTGCGTCGTTTGGCTTGGACAAGGTGAAGAGTGTGAGTGGCCAAAACCCCTCAGCTTGATGTGGTTTGCTTAGTTGCTCATATTCGAGGCTCAGAAACAAAAAATGCTTGAGAGAAAAGTAACCAGGAAGGCATTCACAAAACAAAATTGTACAAATAGTCAACTGTCTGCAGTTACATACTCGTTACAAGATACAGTATTCAATATACACACTATCCGCTTTCTTCCTATTTCTTTTCCCTCACTTTCCTCATCTCTCCAACACAAAAATGAAAACTAAAAACGAAAAAAATAAAATGGTTATCAAACAGACCATAAAATTTTCAGAACTTCATAAGTAAATATGTAATCAATTGATTTGAGTACCGCCGCACTCCACAAAACGTGTTCTGTATTCCAAGCTCAGATGATATGGCAGCCTTTTCATCTAATTCAAATTTGTTTATCAACTAAAAAAGAGCAACCCCAAGCCAACAACGGGGAGGAGCGTCTATCCTACACAACCTTATCCTTGTTAATCAACTAGGGTTATTTAAATCGAAGATGAGCAGTTGTAAAATTAAAACGATCATATAAATTTACATGATGATGCATATAAAAGTAAAAATGAATTAAAAGGCCAATGAATGTAATGAAAGCTCACGGTCGATGATCGAGGAGGGAGTCAAGGGACCGAGTAAAGGGAACTGCAGAGAGGTCGTCCTGCAACCACAAGGCGGAGGAGAAACAAGTAACAAGAACAAAGATTACCAAGTTTACATATTACAGTTGACCAGACAGACACGTTTTGTAACCATGTTTTTTTTATGTGAAATCTCTACACGATCATAGACAGCATATATAAACAGACTTTTCAACGTTTTCATTGAACACGATAGCGATGCAAAACCAAACCCAAGAAAAAAAAAAAAAACTAATAACAGAATGAGTTTTGAAATTTCCAACAGGCGACGCATGCCGGCTGGCTAACTGGTCCAACACCGATAGTGTTCCCATCTTAACCACCCGAGGTCGCGTTTCGCAATCGGCTGCTGCTTATCATTCATATAATTATCTCCAACAGAAGTAAAACAAAATGAGAGTTTGCTAGAAACTGGTTCTTCATGAAACTTGGTTTGGGACTTGGAAGTTTAATTTAATCATGGAGCTTCAGTTAGTTTATCAAATCAAGGGGAAATAATTTGTGAAGGAAAAATGTAACCAGGCAGACGACAAAAAGAATTGGAGCTAAACTTTTTGTTGAGCCAAGTTTTCTTTTGCAGACAGTTTTTGTTGAACTGCAATTACCTAAGCGGTTGGTAAGTCCCACATCGACGATAGCGTGAAGAAGGAGCTGGAATAGGCAATATAAAATAAAGCGGCGTGCAGAACTTAAAAATCACGGAGCCATGCGTTGAGCACAAAGCGAACTATTCTTTCGCCTTTTACTAAAGAATACCGTGTGCTCGTCGTTCTAAGTGGCATACCCCTATTTTTGGAGGGGCGCACATCTTTGGGTGCCCCTTACAATTCAGATGAAGATTAAAAACATAGCTGGGACTTCAACAATTACTCAAATATGAGTTAAAAACATGGCTGGGACTAAAACGATTACCGAAATATGAAGGTAGAATTGGGAAATGCTACCGTTACTTGTATGTTCTGTAAAAAATAGAAATATGGTATAATATATGGCCTCCGCTACGGGTACGGGCATACAACTGAATAAGGTTTTGTACAAACGAGCTGCTTGAAGAAGCTGTTGTGGTGTAGAGAGAGAGATCCATGCTTGCCGCTGGCATGGCGGAAATACGGACCATGCGCGCGAGAGGCATTGAACTAGCGGCGTTGATGGTCTGCCATCATTCTGGTGCGTCGTTTGGCTTGGACAAGGTGAAGAGTGTGAGTGGCCAAAACCCCTCAGCTTGATGTGGTTTGCTTAGTTGCTCATATTCGAGGCTCAGAAACAAAAAATGCTTGAGAGAAAAGCAACCAGGAAGGCATTCACAAAACAAAATTGTACAAATAGTCAACTGTCTGCAGTTACATACTCGTTACAAGATACAGTATTCAATATACACACTATCCGCTTTCTTCCTATTTCTTTTCCCTCCCTTTCCCTTCAGACTGAATCCCAGTTTTCCTTTGAACCAATCAAACTAATGATAAAGCATGCATCGATGATGAATGTCTCATGCTGGGGTGAGGGAAGCGGATGCCCTGGGACGATGAGGAGTTGCTGCATTGTTGACTCCGTTGATGCTGTGTCTGCGATGTTTGGGGGCGTGGTTTGAATTTGCATGAGGGTTTGGGCGATGTTCATTTTGGAAGATACCTGAGCCCTCCGAGTCACTGGGCTCCTGAAGTTGCTCCAACGCTTTTACCACGTCATCCATGGTTGGCCTAGACTTGGGTTCTACAGCTAAGCATTGAATTGCAAGGTTAACAGCTCTGAGAGCTTCATCCAGAGAGTACTGGCCTTCAATACGACCGTCAAAAATTTGAATAACTTTGCGTTTGCTTGCAAGGTAAGGTTTGGCCCATTCAACTAAATTGTGTTCTCCCGATGGCCGGTTCTTGTCCACAACTCGTCTGCCAGACAATAGTTCGAGCATAACAACCCCAAAGCTATACACGTCACTTCTCGCAGTTAAATGACCTAAAAAAAAAAAGAAATAAGGATCAGCAGGGAGCAATCATGCATTCTTGTCATGTTTAAGAAGAAAATACAGCCATATGGTTGCTGCAGCACTGATCAAGATGATGAAGACATAGGGACGAAAGCTCTTATTAAGCAGAAGTGTGATAGGAAAACAAAGTAATCTAAGGAGAACAAATTGTTTCAACAGATTTTTACCTACCCCAGCAAAGTGAGGAGTAAGTCACTCACGTATCCAAAAAGTACAGCGGAACTTTCTGCAACTATATGGAGGTGAAAAAAATGAACAGGAAAATTAAAACCAAACGCTGGTCATTCATTAGGGTACTGCAGTAGGGAAATCTTCGAGAAAGGGCAGGATAATATGTAGGCTGTAGCAGAAGGTTTCAGATGCAACATAGGTATTGAGTAGAAATGAAGTAAATGGGAAACAGACACCAATGTACTACATACGAAGACCGGATAATGTCATAGTCCATGACCGTATTAGTCTTTTTTTTTCTTTCTAAAATTGATCGAAGCCTGCCTGTGGTTAGAACCTATAAATATTTGGTTACAACTTTGGTGAAAGGTAGATGAAGCTGTAAACAAATATCCCCCATTTTTAAGGGTAGGTTGCTTTTGTATGTGAACTCAATCCTGTTAACTAAACGTACCTGTGGACATATACTCGGGCGCTGCATAACCATATGTCCCCATGACTCTTGTTGAGACATGGCTTTTATCACCGGCTGGGCCATCCTTGGCTAGACCAAAATCAGAAAGTTTGGCATTGTAGGTCTGTTGTTTTTCAATTAAAATTGTAAATAATGCTCAACATTCAGTCAACATATGTAAGTTCTAAAAATAATCTGTAACTTCACAATAGAACGAGTGAGGCTAAGTTAGTTGCTCCTGTATATAGTACAAAAACTTAAATCTCAAATTTGGCATCGATTGACTTTCAACAACAAAATGGTTAGCTTCGGATGATGCCACAGCTTATGAAGTACTATGGTAATCTAACATGGTGCTCGAGGTTCGGTTCCAAGAGGTCTTGCTTCGAAACCCCTAGAACCCCATTCCCCAATTGACGGGCAAAATATATGAGCTCCATTAAATTCTAGAGAAAATAATCCAAACCAAAACAACAAAATGGCGTAATAAAACCAGCAAGTCCATGCAAATCTGAGTTGAACTTGATCGTAACGAACATAAAAGGTTGTGGTTTCAAAGATCTAACCTTTGATAATCCTCTATATAGCAACCAGAGCAGTAAAAGTCACATAAACCAAGAAGCAGGACTCATCAGAACAAAATTCCCAAACAAAAATCAAGTATTTCAGCCAAAAAAAAAAAAAAAAAAAGCACGCTAAGCTCTAGCTGCTATAGACTCCGAAACTGCATGTTGCATTAATCAAACACAACCAACTTTGATCAAAGTTCCAAACTTTTAATTAACAGAGTTAATCAGAAACTAAATGATGAATCTTAAACTTGGTGAAACTTAATTACCATTATGAAGGGGGCTGTCAGCTTTGATTCTAGAACTTAAGCAAGAACCCATCACCAGAAAACGTCCCAAGAACGGGTCTTTCGAGACCCAACTGCCAGAAGAGGAGGAAGAAATAGAAACCCAAGTTTGCAAACAAGTTTCAAAGCGCAAGCAAAAGCAGAAGACCGTGAATCAAATATGATGGTCTCACCAATCAGTGTGAACGCTCTCGCTTTCTCTCTCTCGGCTTGGCTTTTTCACAAACACCTAGCTGTCAAGAGCACGAAATAACTCAGCAATTGAATAGTGGAAAATATTGAAGAAATCAAAGAAAAGCTCTGTGCTTTGAACTTGGAAGATTTTTGAGGTATATGTGGGGGTGTTTGGTTGCTGGGAAGGTTCTTTTATTCGACCTTCGGGAAGGACAAAAGTGTGAGAGGTTTGACTTGCCATCCCCCACTTGAGCGTTTCTTTTGGTGTTTTCTTCATCTGCACGCAGCACGTTGGTGGATTGGAAAATGGTAAAAGAAAAGAGTGTTCGATGGGGCTTATCCAAATTACGTGCTCTCTGCATCTCTCTCTCTCTCTCATGGGTGCGTGTGACAGCTTTGCATGGCTGCAGCCTCTGCTGTGCGTTTTACTTCTCTTCCATGTAATTCTTGTAAAAGGTGAAACGGAAGCCAACTCTCACTCAAGTTACTGGTTTAATGTTGGTTTACTTATGTTCATGATAATGACTAGCCATGAGAGTTATTTCTAACAGATGGATCATCGGCTCACTACCAAAATACTTCGATATTTTCCTTTAACATCAGTTACAACATCTTAAACGTGTGAGATTTTATCATAAACAACTTCTGTATATTAAATCGTACGTAGAACCATTCATGTTGTCACCTTTTACGTGAGATTCGTATTCTTTACAAAAAAAAGATATTTACGCTTAAAGTGATTCCGTACGAGATTTCCCAATAGAAAATATTTAGTTTCTAGAGGAAATGAATCGTCTCTCCTTAAATATCCTTGTTGATGCACAAAATCAGCGAAGACTTTGGTACAACAGAAAGTGTCAGGTTTTGTAACCTTCGCTTGGTTGCTTCGGTCACTAGTGAGGATAAGTACGTAAATGAATAGAGACAGAGAAGCAAACACAGGATGTACGTGGTTCACCCAGATTGGCTACGTCCACGGAGTAGAGGAGTTCTTATTAGTAGTGAAGGGCTTACACAAGTACAAGGGATCAAGCTCTCAATTTAGTGAGTTCTTGTGAATGATTTAACACAAATGGCATTAGGCAATATTGTGGGGGAATGACCCCTATTTATAGAAAAACTTGTAGCTTTGTCACATTGACATGTGTCATGTTATGATTGGTTCTTGATGTCGACACGTGCTGCGCTCTGATTGGCTTCTAATCTTGACACGTGTCGAGTAGTGTGATTGGCCTCCTGGTCGGAGGGGTAACTCTTCTGGGTCCTTGACAGTATAGCGTTGGCCGGTGCTCGGTAGTTTCGGGATTGGTCAAGTATGGTACAAACAGTGCTCCCCTAAGTTCCCGAGTGAGGGAAACTCCTCGGTTGGGGACTTGCAAGATCCAATCCCTTGAGTAATCACGAAACTTCTAAGTACCGAAGTGTGGTCTGATCTTCATCTGCCCTTCTCTGGAAGTACCTTTCCTCCATCCGGGAATGGTGTATTTAGCTGATGTTGACGCACAAGGTAATGTATCAATTTCACTTGAAGCTTAGTTGTAGTTTCGGGCTTAGTCAAGTGTGATACAAACCCTATAGTAGGAGTCCCCCAAGTCGCCGAGCTAGGAGATCTACCGAAAGAGGTGACAAACAAGGTAAGCAGTCAAACTTCCAAGTAAGCAACCCAGGATCAGAGGTTTGACTTCGGCTTCCGGTTGATTGTTCTCCTTCTCCTTGTCTCTCATTCAACTGCCAGGATAAGGAGAAGCAAATGGATAAGAGATGATATGAGATACTTTTGCTTTTGAAGAAGTAACTTTCCACATGCTTATTCTTGAACTGTGCTGGAGGGTTTTCTGGTGCCCTTCAGAGTATAAGGCCGACTCAAAAATTTGAGGGTCAAAACAAGTCCATCAAATCTAGAGTACGTTCGACCTTGATGATATGGGATACTTTTGCTGTTGACGGAATAATGAATGTGGTATGGAAAGGTGTCGTGCTGTAGTGATCTGTTTCAGCTCACCGTTGAACCTTCTGCTTCAATCTTTTTGCATGGCAGAAGTGGTGTGCAACCTTTGCATTTAAATGGTCCTTCAGAACATTCCTTCATAGTGACTCATCCACGCTTGGCAGCTTCAGTGTAAAGAGCCAATATCTGATCAACTGTCATGAGGTATTTGCCGGTGGAATTCGTGACCTTGACAGCAGTTGAGGATGAGTACTCGAGAGCAATGCTAAGTAAGCAACCAGGCAAAGGCTCCAGGCAGTCAGTTCCAAATTGGAGGTTTGATTTCAGGTTCCGACTGACTGCTCTCTTTCTCCTTGTCCTGCAGGTGTGGACAAGGACAAAGACAAAGATAGGGAGAAAGCATGATATGGGATACTTTTGCTTTCGACCCTGATGATATGAGATACTCTTGTTCTTGGTGTGGCTTATTTGCTGAGGTATTATCGGGGGGAAATAAAGCTGAGTATTTCGAGAGGTTATGTTGAGGGTGCCTTTTCGAATGCGAGAAAGGGTTGAGCATTTTTGCAGGTTTGCCTGTCCGTTGAGGAGGGAGGTCAATGTATATAGGGATTTCCCAATAACAAGTAGTAATGCTATTCCTTTACCCTTCTTGGTCACAGCAATGTAGTGGGAGTTGCCAGCTTCACGTGTTTTAATTTTGTCAGAGCACTTTGAAAAAGTGGTATGTGGTATCTGGAAAGCTGATATTACGTGTGAAGATTACAGACAAGCTTTATCTAAGGAAATCTGGCTCTCGAAGTTCTGAGAGTTGTGCCTCTTCAGTTTTCGAACAAGCAATCCCGTCGAGGATCTGACTCTCGAGATTCGGAAAGCGGTGCTACTCCGGTTTTTGAGAAAGTAATTATGTTGGGAGTCTTTTCTCGAATGTGAGTAAAGGTTGGACGTTCTTGCCAACCTGTCTTGCCGCAAAACACAGAGGTCGACACACATAGGGACTTTCCAGTTGTCAAGCAGTGGTGCTGTTCCTTTACCCTTATGGGTAATAGTAGGGTAGCTGGAACTTCGAAATTCTCGTGCCTAAACTTTGTCAGAGATCTTTGACAAAGTTATATGTGGTACCCGAGGAGTTGATGGTGCATATGGAGAGCGGTGATTGAACAGTAAGATTCACGTGCTTTTTACTTCACCAGAAATCTTCGACAGATTGCCCGTAATTTTCCGCAAAGCTGATTGTGCATGTGACAGGTGCTGACGAGGCTGAAAAAGCAGGTGCTTCTTCGATTTCTGAGATCGGCCCTCGTGGTCTCTGAGCAGCCCAGCTTTTGAGAAAGCAAACGCCTCTTCGATTTCTGAGATCGGCCCTCGTGGTCTCTGAGCAGCCCAGCTTTTGAGAAAGCAAACGCCTCTTCGATTTCTGAAGCTCCGTCGAGTGCAGATTTTTATAGAGGCTGGCATTAAGTTCCACAGCACACCTGAATCTCTACCAGTAGAAGCTCATTTCTTGCACTTCTAAGATCTTGATTTGTCTGACCTCTTCCTTCTTCAACACATTTGAAAATGTCTGGACCCTCCGACCGTCGTTTTGACCTGAACCTTGGAGAAGAGACAGCCACGCCTTCTCCAGACAACATATGGCGCCCATCCTTCATATCCCCTACTGGTCCTCTTACCGTTGGGGATTCTGTGATGAAGAATGATATGACCGCTGCAGTGGTGGCCAGGAACCTTCTCACTCCCAAAGATAACAGACTACTTTCCAAACGGTCTGATGAGTTGGCTGTTAAGGACTCTCTGGCTCTTAGTGTTCAGTGTGCAGGTTCTGTGTCTAATATGGCCCAACGTCTATTTGCTAGAACCCGCCAAGTTGAATCATTGGCTGCTGAAGTGATGAGTCTCAAACAGGAGATTAGAGGGCTCAAGCATGAGAATAAGCAGTTGCACCGGCTCGCCCATGACTATGCTACAAACATGAAGAGGAAGCTTGACCAGATGAAGGAATCTGATGGTAAGGTTTTACTTGATCATCAGCGGTTTGTGGGTTTGTTCCAAAGGCATTTATTGCATTCGTCCTCTGGGGCTGTACCTGGTAATGAAGCTTCAAATGATGAACCTCCAATGCCTCCTCCTTCTGGGGTTTTGTCAAGTACTGAGGCTCCGGATAACCACCCTCCGGTGCTTTCTCTTTCTGGGGCTCTACCGACTGCTGAGACTTCCCCTAAGCAACCTTTGTGAAGGCTCCCTTTTGTTTGTTTATTTTGACTCATGTATATGTACATATTTGTGGCTTATCGAAAATATTAATAAATAAGCTTTGCTTCATTTCAATATATTGTGTTAAATACACCAAAGCCTTCTTCATAAAGTTCTTTGAATTTTTGCTTTTGTTGAAACCTGTATTGTTGAAGCTTTGTGAGTAAAGCATGTAGTTTGAGGTAGTGTTCCCTTAATTTCCCGAGTGAGGAAAACTTCTCGGTTGGAGACTTGAAAAATCCAAGTCACTGAGTGGTTGTGAGACTGCCGAGTATTAAGGTGCAGTAGCATATGGTGGGAGTCCCCCAAGTCTTCAGGCGAAGAGAGTTGCCGAATGAGGTGTCTCGCTTGTTACTAATTTTGTCAAAGTAACGAATCCTTGTTTCGATGTCACACATTCGCATATGCCTTATCTAAAAATATTTCCAACTTTTGTGTGTTTGATGCTGCATGCTATTGACTAGACAAGATCAAGTGCAATTAGTAGCTTTTCTCTCTTTTTCATCTTTTCTTTGGTGGAATTGCTTTTCGTTTCCACTAATCAGCCTGAGTGGATGCAAGATAACACCATTCTCTACAGCTCAGATCGCAAAGTCGTCTTCATGAAAGTTGTTCCTTATCTTGTGAACTACAACATCTCCAAATTTGAGATCCATCGGAGTAGTACAACTCCAGAAATTCAGGTATGATGAGTAACTGTTCATCAATTTTCTGTTAACCCGTCAGACTTGTTGTGAGCTTCTAAACTCCATTTTTTCTTGTTCATCTCAACATACTTTCTTCATCGAAGTTGTTCCTCACCTTGTCAGCTACAACATATCCAAATTTGAGATCCATCGGAGCAGTACAAATCCAGAAATTCAGGTATGATGAGTGACTGTTCATCATTTTTCTGTCAACCTGTCAGACTTGTTGTGAGCTTCGAAACTCCATTTTCTCTTGTTCAGATCAACATACTTTCTTCATCGAAGTTGTTCCTT